CGAAGCTTCCACTGACCACCGCAGGTCCAAACGAGCGGGCCGGGTTCATGGACCCACCGCTAAATGGGCCTGCAGCCAGGATGTTGGCGCCCACAATGAACCCAATTGCGATGGGTGCGATTGTGCCCAGGGATCCTTTCTTTGGGTCTGCTGCAGTGGCGTAGACCGTGTAGACCAAGGCAAAGGTGATGATGATCTCCATTACAAGTCCCTCAATTGAGCTCATTCCTGATGCTACCGCATGGGTAGGGATCACCTGCGACGTTCAGGATGAAATTAAGTCATGTTTAATTAAATTTGACCGCGGACATTAATCTGCACCAATAATTAAGTATGTATGCATGTGCATGCGCATGCTGTTTGTAAGCATGCACATACACATACATATGTATGCACGTACATACATACACACATATAAGTGTTTCCAGTTAGTTTACATTTATTACTAAATATACATATTAGGTCATAATATTTAAGTCGATCATGTTTTTTTTTTCCTTAAAAAATCAATATCAACAAACCTAATATTTATGTTAGTATATTGAATATGAGCTGCCTGCACCTCATTTAAAAAATGAACTATCGAGACAGAAGTGATGATGTTTATTTACTCTAATGTGATTAACAGGTTAGACTTCACCACTAATTAATCTATCTCTTGCCAGCTACTTTCGAAAAAGAAAAAAAAAACGAAATGTCTACTTTATTCCAATTTTCTTGTGTATATATTTTGATAGACAGGTATAAACTAATTAATGAACCGCGCGCTAATTCGGATTAATTAAGCTACCCGTCAAAATATGAGATAATAGTAAAAAGCTAGAAATTGATCTCTATATATTCTCACCTTGGCACTGGTAACAAACTTCAAGAGCAAACAAGCAACAGTAGAGCCAAGGAGCTGAGCAATCCAATAAAAGACACCAGTCAAAATAGTGATATTCCCACCAACAGCCAATCCGAAGGTGACAGCTGGATTCAGATGGCCACCAGAAATATTAGCGGCCATGGACACCCCAACGAAAAGCGCAAGCCCATGGGCCAAGGCCACGGCCACGAGGCCCGCCGGGTCCAGCGCCGCGTCGGCCGTCAGCTTGCTGTAGGCGATGGCCGACCCGACGCCGGCGACGCCGGGTCCAGCGCCGCGTCGGCCGTCAGCTTGCTGTAGGCGATGGCCGACCCGACGCCGGCGAAGACGAAGAGAAGTGTTGCAATGAACTCCGCGAGGTAAGAACGTAGAGACGTTGCGTTGAAAGAGTCACCTAAACTACCAAAAGCTAGCTTCACCATTTTTGAATTTGAAGAAGTTGTTTTTGTTTTTGTTTTTGGGGTTTAATTATGAAGGTTTGGGTATTGTGTATTATGAGTTGAGGCTCTTGTGGCCTCTTTATATGTAGGATAAGTTGGGCCTACATGGATTAGGTATGGATAGTTTATAGCCATAGGATTGATGATGTAGTTTGTGACTTATAAGTCCTACAAAGCTGTTCTTAATAATAAGAGGATTAGGTTTTAATTTTTTCCTTTTCTTAAACACAAATACGTGTTGAAGTATAGAATTTGAGACTTACTTCGAAATTTTTATAATTGCATAAACATAACTGCGGTTGTATGTAACTAGCTAGCTAGCTAGAATATTTTGAATCAGTTACATTTCAATGTAATATTATGATTGATAAATACAGGTATAACTATAGTTGCAGAAAACCTCTGCTTGCAGCTAATGACTTGCATATATACATCTGAATGCAAGTTAAAATTGCAACTTATTCAAGCTGAAAATGGTGTTTTAGTTGCAATCAAGTCAAAAAACTGCGAGTTCAGTAAGTTTTATAACTAAATTTACCAACTGCAACTACAGCTGCATGTGACAACATTTGCAGCAACTACGTACGGTGACATGCAATTAACACCCACATTCAATTAATTAAACAGCTCCTTAATTTCAGTAACTTGCATGCAAGTTTCCCTTCTTATATATGCATTATTATTTGGATTCGGATCCTCTCCACTATCTAAAAGGTAGTGGAGAGACCACTACATAACCATAACCATTGATTATCTAGTTAGTGGTTATGATTTTTTTCCTTGAGTGCAAATTAGGAATGAGTGCAATACACGGGCGTGTGGTGAGTGTTAGATTTAGATTGTATCAATACCGCCTACTAAGTAATCAACGATTAAGATTAAAAATAGTGGTCTCTCCCCTACTTTTTTTATAGTAAAGATGATGCAATTAATCCTTATTATTTAGTAAATTCCTAGACAAAGTCCTAACAATTTCGGGGCGGGTCCATTCACACATGCAACGTCAGATCCCGTACCAAACCCAAATCCAATTGCTGCCCCTAAATAATGGAGAGAATCCCCAATAATGGAGAGCCAAGCTAGCTACATCCTAATTTTTTTGATATGTGCGCTTGAATACCCACCACAAGATTGTTATTAAACAAAATGATGGACGGTCCCGACCCACCGACCTCTTTTTAGAAACAACAAAGCGTGACGTGATGGCCGGCCCCCCTAAATGACAACCTAGCAAAAACTTTATTTATAGTTCATTTCATTTATTTTTTGTTCACGTAATTGCCACTGACTAATGTGGCCGGCGATCCATGCAGAGCCAAGCGCCACAACGAAAGCAAAATGTTGATGGTTGTAAGAGTGACGCGACGTGAGGAGACACTCGTGTCGAAGAAATGAGTTGTTATTTCACGTGGTGGAGCGCGGGGGGTGTTCTCCCTCTCCCCTGTCCTTTCCAAGATGCGGGATCGAATGGAGCTATGTAAATAGATATAGGTACGTGTAGATACAAAATGGATACGAGAAAACTGGATAATATTGAAAAAAAAACAGTTCATATAATAACAAAAGTTCATTAAATGTTCATTATATCTGAAAAGCTAGGCTTCGATCTGTTGATCACCAGAACTAATCTCAAATTTATTAATCTAAGGACTAATAAATTTTATTAACCATACACGTATCCTCACCAATATAAATACAGATATTTCGTCAGATAATTTTTTACACCCCTAGTAATTATGATGATTTGTAAAGAATAAGAACTCGTTGCAATTATAGTTTTTAGGAACCGAACGTTTCCGTACGTTTTATCATAGCTAATGATATTGTCCTTCATAGCTAATGATATTTCTTGGGTTAATTGCACATAGCCCCCATTTAGGATGACGTGTTTGAACTTATTACTCCTGTAGTATAAGTTCGTAGTTTAATTTTAGCAGAGTGAAAACCTATTTGACTTTTTTTTACCATTATCAAAATTGTTGTTTAAAATTAAAAAAGAAAAATGCAGAAGTAACAAGTTAAAAAATGCCATACTATACGAGTTTATGCACAATTAACCAATATTTCTCTGATACCACGAGTTATAGTTCATGAAAATTGTGAATTTTGATGTACACATAATAAATTTTTACTCATTCAAAACCAACCAAGATTGACAAAAATTATGGATTATAGCTCATAAAAAATCATGAATCAGATAAATTTGTATTTGTTTGAAATGAACAAATTATTTTAAATTCCATAGGCTATAACTTATGAAAATCACAAAGTTTAATGTACACATAAAAAACTTGTTTTCATTTGAAAATGAACAAAAAATGACTAAAATTGTGAGTTATAGCTCATGAAATTATAAAATTTGGTGTGCAAATAATAATTTTTATTTATTTATAATAAATAAAATTTATGAATTATAACTCATGAATTATAAAATTTAGTGTACGCATAATACATTTGCAAACATTCCAAATGAGCAAAGATTTTTAAAAATTATGAGTTATACCTTATGAAAATTGTGAAGTTTAATGTACACATAATAAATTTTAGCTTATGAAAACTGTGAAGGATAATGTACACATAATAAATTTTGTATTCATTCAAAACGAACCAAAATTGATAAACGGTCATGGGTTGTACCCTGTAAAAATTTTGAATTTAGATGTACACTTAATAAATTTGCATTTATTCAAAACAAACACAAGTTGACAATTATCATGGGTTATAGATCATGAAAATCATAGATTTTGATGAACACATAATAAACATAGGTTATAGCTCATAAAAATTGTGGACTTTGATGTATAAACAATAAATCTGCATTTGTCTAAAGCGAATAAGAATTTTACAAAAACCATGAATGCTAGCTCATGAAAATAAAAGACTTTAGTTTACACATAACAAATTTGTATTTGTTCGAAATGGAAAAATTGATAAAAATTATGGGCGAGCACATGAAAATTAAAAATTTTTATGTACATATAATAAATTTTCATTCATTCCAAATAAGCATAAATTATTAAAAAGAAATTATGGATTATAGTTCATGAAAACCATGGATTTTGATGTACACATAATAAATTTACATTCATTCGAATGAATGAAAATTGGCAAAACTCTAGCGTTATAGCACATGGAA